TAATTTTTTTTTTGTCCGATGCCTGTCTTAATAAAGTGTTCTCTCTCATGATCTGGAAATGTGATTAATCATGAGTGCTAGCTGTCATTGGAAGCCTCAGAGTTAGATCGATTTCTTTATGACGGCATAATTTTTGCTTTATGCATTATTCATTACTTAATCTTGAATTACTTTCATGAGTTCTCACAAGTGATGTAGTTTCTTTTACAGCCCACAAAGGTGACTTGGTGGTCTGGGAAAAAAAAATCAATTTCCGTTCACTACTTAGATTATGTTATGTTGATAAATTTTAGATGATAGGATCATGAAATATTGATAAGGTCTGCCGCCATTGCCCCGCCATCTCCTTTCAGCATAGGGATGGTAATTATTTTGTAACATTATTTTGATAGGCTAACTTGAAATGTGAAGACATCAGAATGTCAAATTTAATTGTAAAGCCGTATGACTATTCTTTGTAAAGGATTCTCCACCGTATCATGAAACAGGTAATTGACCTTGTTTGCTTGCACCTATCATAAGCTTCTAATTAAAAACATTAGTTCCTTTATGAAAGAAAATTCTTTATTTGTGTTTTTATTTATTGGCCATAGAAGTACTTATTTTCCAATTTTCTCAAATTAAGCTGCTTATTTTTTGGCCCAAAACTAGTTCGGTTGTTTAGTGTTTTAAGGAAAAAAAAAAAGTCATACTATTTAGATTTGGTTGTGTTGATAGATTTTGATTGATAACTTTATGAATCTTAATAGCAACTGCGGTTATCCCCTACCATTTTTCCGAGCAACAGCGCAATAATTATTTTTGAACGTGAATGATGGCTGAAATGAGAAGACATCGCAATGTTAAATTTGATTGTAGAGCTCAATGACTATAATTAAAAAATAGTTCTCCCCTATGATTTAAAGAATTAATCATCAGGATGGAATATTTTTAGAAGGAACATCAAGTTTTCTATGATGGTAGAATTTTTTTGGTGTTGCCTTCTACTTTATTTTATGTTGAAAGGATACTTGGTGTTCGCGTATGACGTTACAAAGGTTATTTAAGAAGAGAATTGTATTAATAAGAAGGCATGAAGCTAAATATCATTGACATGTAACGTGTGAATGGGATTGAGAAGAATTATAAAAAGGGTAGTAATCGCTGACTAGGGCGTAGTGTTTTTGGTGATTTATAAAATGTTGGGTACCGATATGAGAATTTAAAAAAATGTTAGATGTAAGCAAGAAAAATGAGCTTTGAAGCTTTTATCAGGCTGAGCAGTATGAAAATATTATTTTAAGAAGTTGAATAAAAGCTCTTAGAACAAAATTTTTTCAGAAGAGCGGAATAAAGGGAATAATAAATCGTATCACTGTTTCATCTGAATACGAAGTAGGGTTAGATTGGATGAATATGCATGCTAATAAATTTATAGGCCATAATGAGATATCTACTCAGTTTTAAGGAATTATGGATGCTGACTTCTGTGTTTAATAAAACTTTTTAGTGAATTCTTTGACTAATAAGATGTCTGATGATTGTAATGGATATATGTCATATTCATCTATGAGCCAAAGGGTATCTAGAATCATAATAATGTTGGAAATCAAACTTATTATTCAAACCATAAATTAAGAGAAATGACGATTGAGCAAAAATTTAGAAGCATTATTTTGATCAGAAAGTTGTGATCTCTCTATTAAGTTTAACTAAAACGTATAAAGAATGATGGGGTTAATTCTAAATTCATATATTTAATAACAGCAGCACAATCAGATTCAAAGTGAATCTTGTTCCAACTAAATATTGCTGCTATCTTGGCTGCAAAGAAAATGGCTTACATTTCCGCCTCCTCAGGAGAGTCAGCCTACACAAGGTAGGCAAAAAAGCATTTACATTCGCCCAATTCATTTCTAAACACCCCACCTGCACCACCACAGTCCAAAGTCCAGATACCATCCACATTCACTTTCATCCACGCAATAGGAGGCTTTCTCCATACAACCTGTTGAATTTTCATTTTCACAAGTCCCAACTTATAAACTGAATGTTCAGAAATTCAGAAAAATATCCTCTTACCAGCCTCTTACCAGAAAAAAAAAAAGCACAGTAATCACCATGCTTATTTATTTAAAAAATGTAAGTTTCTTCCTTAGCAGCCACCCCCGTGGCCAAAGGAACCTCTCCATGGTGCTTAACTGATTTTCTGCACATCCAGAGAAACCAACAAATGATATAAGGCAGAAAATTAAAGAAGTGTTTACATTTCCTTCCCCGGTAAGATGAGCAATCCCTCAGATTATCACCACCAGGACAAGCTAAATCCATACTTAACTCATTGCACAAAATATTCCAAACTGAAGCAAAATGACACTTGAAAAATAAATGGTGAGCAGATTTCTCCTCACATTTGCATAAGATGCATTGTGAAGGAATTTTTAAACCTTTTAGTTTAATTATATCATCAAGTGGCAAGAGTTGATGGTATAATCTCCATAAAAAAAAGGACAGAAGGTGATAATGATTTATGCCATATGTTTTTCCGCCAATCTACAGACCTCCATGAGTAGAGATTATAATATAATGATTTAGATAGGGAATTAACCTTAAAGAACTTATACACCATCCAATCCTTCCTACTAACATCAATTGGGATTTTGGATATAGCCATAGCACAGCTCTTTCCCTCCAAATCATTAAGTAAAGCCAAATTCCATTTATTATTACACCACCAATTTGCCACCTTATCATCACCCATATTCTCCTTATAGCAAGGAGGAAATATCCTCCAAGCACCAGCAATCATTGCCAAAAAGATACCTGCCCATTTCCAATATCCCAATAGATGAATTTTTCTGCCCCATTTCTAGCATTAATCATAACTCTCCATATTTTAGAATCACCAGCATTATATGAAGCATACTTAGGATGTTTCCCCTTGCAGTATTTATGAAACATAAAATCAGACCGTAGGGAATTTCCAGCTCTAAATTTGAGCCACAGCATAGTAGAATTGATCTCTGCACAATGTTGAAGCTCCTGGAATCCCAAACCTCCAGCTGAACTTGGTTTACACATTTTTTTCCAAGCAGCCCAATGTATCCTATTCTTCTCCCCTGACCACAAAAACTTGTATTAAACTATCTTGTTTTATGTTTTAAATAGTGTAAATTGTTCCTTAATGACTTTATGAGGACCTTTGAGCTACAATGCATTACTTTGCACTGACAAGTGTGTGCATAGTTGACGTTTTTTGGTTAGAATGGACAAGTACGTTTGGGCATTTATGTGATGAAAGAGTACCTCAAAAACTTTTAAATTTGCTAACAAAATTGACTCCAATTGATGGATTAGGCTCGAGAAGACAATTGTTCTTATTTAGGCATACATTATTCTAAGTTAGATGTAGTAAATTTTTTTAAAAAATGCAAAATATTTGTATTAGAACTGTTATGAGGATATATCTTTTGAGGGAAAATTTTAGAAAAATGAATGCCTTTTAATTTCCATGTGCACATGCATCATTGGCTCCTGCTTGTTGGTTACATGCAATATTACTAAAGCACTACATGCTCTTAAAGTTATAGCACTAAATGCTCTTAATATTGGAAGCACTAAATATCGTCTTAAGCATTTGCTCAAGTGAAATGGGATGCTAAAAAAAGTTGCATATTGCATATAAACCAACTTTAAGTATGATGAAATTTTGATTTAAGAGTATGAAATGTTAATCATCACATTAATCAAAATTACTATGAATTTTGAGGTTCCATTGTTTCCAAGTTTAGAAGTTTCTATAAATAGATTGTCTTAAACAAATGTAATAAACCACTTCAGTATCATGTGTACCTGATAGAATTTAATTTTCTTTACTATCTATACCATTGTGATCAAAATTCTTGTTCTCTCAGTCCTATTACTAGATTTTCATTCCTTGGTCTTTTCTTTTATCTCCTAACAATCATTTTTTGTTCTTAAGATTTATTATACAAGAACTTAAAAGCTCTTGTACTTCTAATTTGTTTAGTTTTTTTTTCCCAGCACGTATTTGTTATTATACGAGATGAGAATGCTTAGGTGGATGAGTGGCTTGGCACTTGGTGATAAAATGCGAAATGAATACATCTGTGATAGAGTTGGTGTAGCTCCTGTGGCGGATAAAATTAGAGAGAGTCGTCTTAGGTGGTTTGGTCACATTAAACGTCGACCATCTGATGATCCAATTAGGAGAGTAGTTGTTTTAGATTCGCCTTATGTTGCAAAAGGCAGAGTTAGACCTAGAAAGACTTGGGCATATTGTATAAAGTGATCTTAATTTATTAGAATTAAATAACAATATAACACTCAATAGGACGCAATGGAGAAAAAGATTCATGTACCGGACCCTACTTAGTGGGATAAAGGGTGGTTGTTATTGTTGTTGTATTTGTTTTTATGTATATTTTCCGACCTCATGCAGTGGGATTAAGGCTTTGTTGTTGTTGCTGTATATTTTTGTAGGACCTCGTTTCAAGTCATTATCCTGAAAAATCAACTCACCTTTTGCTGTTCGAAGTATTATCACCTATCTCTTCATTGTTGCTTGCCTGGATACAATCTTATTCTCTTCGCATCAAGTTGCGTTCCTTGATTATCTCTCTGATTCTTTGTTGCTGATTATATTTGCAACTCTTTGCTATCTTCTATGAAACCAATAACAACATGAAAGAACCTTTATTAGTGTATATCTACATATAGAAATCCTCCGAACCACTACATTTGTGGGGGAATGCGTGTCCTCTTTATTTATTTGCAGCTTTAATAGGATCATTTGATGTATTTTATTAAAACAAAAAGCTTAACCGAATGCTGTAATGAAATTTTCAAATGACTTTTTTGTTGTTGATTACATACTACTTCCCTTCAATAGATCTAAAGATTCTTTGTAACGACGTTCATCTTTTGCTGGTAAACATGAGCTCCAAGAAATGTTATCTTCTTAATCATTTTCTCATAAAGGCCTATTTATTAAATTTCAGGCAAGCAATGCTTCTGAGAAAAAGACCGAATCCGAACCTTCTTTCGAACTGCTGACAAATCCCGCAAGGGTTGTACCCGCACAAGAAAAATACATCAGATTCCTGGAGGGAAGCAGATACGTACCGGTGAAGCTCGCACCTTCGGGTTTTGTTCTATTGAGAGATCTACAGCCGGCAGAAGCCGAGGTTCTCGCTCTCACCGATGCCCCGTCGAATGTATCCTCTTCAAATGCCGCTCAACAAAGCTCCGAACCGTCAGCCATGACTGTAGATGAGGAGCCTCAGCCCCCGCAACCCTTTGAATTATCTGCGTAGACAACTGGGCTCGATAGAGTTTGTCCCATTTCATTGTTTTCAGGCCAGCAGAACATCTTTTCACAGGTTTACGAAAACTGCTTTGGTTAATGAAAGTGTGATGACATTGTTCTCTTTGGCTTTAGATCAGGCGGATTTTGTTCTTAATGTCGTAAAAATTTTCTACAGGCTGCCGGTGGGGCGAAATGATTTGTAGTTCTGGGTTCTTAATTTATTGTTGTGTTTTTCTCCATATTATTTATTTGGATTTTGTAGCCATTTTGAGAGATGTACTTGTATACGAATATTATCTGCCTTTTTTTGGCAAACTTTGTTTTCGAATTGTTCATGGGAAGCCATAGTTTGATTTGGGGCTGCAGTCTAATCCAATTCAGGTATTCAATTATGGGCAACTTATAGGTTGACAATACTTTACCATACATATCATGTGGGAACTTTGATTTTTGAATGATGCAGTCTATTATTATTTCTTAGGGGCATTTTACTTACATATACTATTCAATTCCTACATGTTTATGTATCTCACCCAAACTTTATTTTTTTGTATTTCTATCATCCAAATTTTCAAAAGTACAATACACCTTTTTATACTTATGTAAGGTATATATTTTACATGCCAAATAAATTAGTTCTTTTGGGTCGGGCTTCATGTGGGCATGCCAAGTTTGGCTATTGCTGGCTTTTGACAAAGTCAAAGCTGGCTCGAGCCTGCCAAATTTCTATGCTTTCACAACTAAGCCAGCCGATTCTAAGTGAGCATATTGTCGGGCCACCAGCACAATGCCCAGGTATAATATTAGTTAGCTACACGAAAAATGTGCCATTGTCGTGTGAAGGGGGAAACAACCTATTATATGCTATTTTTATTTCAATTTTAATTTAGATTGGCCCAAAATTGAATTTAGAGCAAAATGTTCTTAAAAGATTAAAGATCACAATGTAAAGTTGGTCATGTAGCATGAATGCGCAAAATTGTCTTTGTACTTCTAAATTACACAATAATGTGATTGCCATATTTAAATTATCATATTGTTCTTTTCTGTTCTTGCTGGTATTCCCTTCAACTTTTAGTAGTTCACCCATATAGTGATGATATTCTATCATGGAATTGATTAAAGCTATCAGTATGGTGGTAGTGCATTGATATGTTGAATTATAGGGACACTTATATTATTATTAGGGAAATTTACCACACCATTCTTATGTATTTACAAATCCAACAACTAAACCTTCATATTTTAGATGCATATCACTCAAATTTTTAACATCACATTAAAAATATCACCATCATTATTATTTTTTTTAAAGTGAAATGTACAATTTCATAAACATGTGTGGTATAAATATCAAATTTTGTGTGTTAGATATATAAATACATAAACATTGTGTGGTGTATATGTAAATTTCTTTGTTTTTTTTAGTAGAAAAATTCAAATTAATTAATCAATGCTTTATGGATGTCAACAATTATGTTTGTTCAATCAAATATCATTATGTTGTGTTTTTCAGCTTTTTGTTCTTTCAATAAAATATATAAGTCAGCTCCATGTTCAATTTGAAGTGTGCTCAAAATTCAGTTCACAAAACCATATTATAGTGATATAAGCTGAATTTAAAATCTGAAGTGAATATCTATCAAACCCTCACTTAGCACATCATTTTAAGAAGTTCAAAAAATGAAGGCATTTCTTTCCTTGCTTTGTCAATTCTAGTCGAAGTCTTTGTGTGGAAACATCTTCATGTCATGTTATTAGTAATATTGATTCTTTTTCATTAAACTTTAGAAATTTAAGCATGTCTATTAATGACAAACCATGTCAATCAGAATGTTGACAAAGAAGCATCTAACCTCTTGAACAGTGGCATATAAGAAAAACACTGGCTTAGCATCTATTTTGATGAGAGAACTATTTCATAAAAGTTATAATTTAGATTGATATTGATGGAAAGCCTAAGTTTTCTCCTAAAAAATGTCAATGATTATGAAAGAAGACTCAAATTTATGTAGTATAAGAGGGATGGATGATAAAATATTACTAATAAAAATTTAAATATTATTGTGACCCTCTATATTTTTATTTACGTATGATCTCTTTATAATGTATTCATGATTTCTTGGTTATGATTTAAGTTACAACTCTTTGAGCTCTATGCATTCATTAGAATTTACCAATGTTTTGAAAAATAAGATATAAGGTTTGAAAGTAATGTAGATGTAATTGACTTTGATTGTTTTTAAAATGAAATATTAGGATCACTGATAGAATGAGATAACACTTTTTCAATTATACTATATAGTCATGACGTCCCCCATTATAAGGAAGGGTGAACCTTTCTATTCTTGCATTAGAATTATTAGAATCATTTCAATCTTATAATTTTTCCTTTTTTGTTAGTTTCATGTGCAATTCTCACATCACTTTTATGGTTGTTTAACTTTATTTCATTATGTGCATGATCTCCAAAAGATATTAAGATAATAAGCCTATAATGTACCAAGAACGAGAAATCTAACAGCATTCTACCTATTCAATTCTTATAGAATAAATTCTAATTAAGGCTAAATGGATATTCTAATTAAAAATAATCAAAACACACAAAAGCTAAATATAAATTAGGAGTAAATGTAAACTAAGTATGAAAATTTTTAGGAAATAAATATACAACATATTATTAGATTTTAAGTGTGTATTATGCAAATAAGCTAATATATATGTTGTAGAACTAATGACAATAAAATATAAGGTGAACTCAACCACACTTGCTATAACATCGTAGACAAAAACAAAAATATAGATGAAGATGCTAGGTAAAATTATTCTGTTAAGCTAGAGTGGTTTAGTAATTTTATTAACAAATTAATAAATTTCATTCTATAAGATTTAGCACAATAAAAATAATAATAATCTTCAATATTTCGTTTAAGCAAAAGTTGAATGGGTGAGAATAAAAGGGAAAGAAAAAAAATTCTAATGAATTGTCCATCTAATTTCTTGGATTACATCTATGCTTAACCAATAACCAAATTATGATTCTCATTACCTCTGAATTTCTACTACAACCCAAACTCCTTCATCCCATAGGTGAGCCAGGAAACTATCCCAAACTCTGCATTCGAAGGTCAGGAGTAGCCCCTTTTTGATAAAGCAATGATACATAACTTTGCTCCCCATTAAGCACTCTTAAATTCTATCTCTAGAACTTTGTAAACTCTCTATTTACAAAAAGAAAAAAAAATAGAAAAAGTTTCATGTACTTTTAGAGGTAAATAAAAATTCATATTACATTCACTCTCTAATATAATGTTTATACAATTAGCAACAAACAATGGAATACTTTGAAAATAAATTACAAATTCTAAAATTTAAAGATGAAATTACCCCAATAAATTTCCTTAAAGAAACTACAAAGAATGAACACATTTTTTTCTAGATTAATTTATCTCTAATAATTTTTATTCTCTTATAACTCACTCAAACAAATTTTACAATTGCTTTAAAAGTCACTAAACTAATCATATATAAAATTTCTCAGAACACATCTAATGCTTGAAATCTCTTCATAAATGCTCTAAAAATAACCATAAAATCATTAACAAAATAACCTTTCAATAATTATTAGAACTTTCCATTACTTACAATGGAGATCCACAAACATTAGTAGAACCTTACTTGGTACATGTTAAACTGAAGAAGTCTGGCAAATAAGTACCAAGAATTCATAGAATTTATTTTAGAATACGAATCTTGTCATGCACAACCTAGCTCACTCCATCTAATTCAAAAAAAAAAAAAAATCAAATAAAAAATTATTCTAGATTCATTGGAGATAAAAATTGAAGCTTATTTGAATATATAATTTAGTAATAAAACTCAATTAATTACATAGCATATAATTATCAAAATTATATAAATTAAGCATTTGTTGGAATTTTTGAATAAATGTTTAGTACATACAAATTCAATTCAACTTGTTCAATTTACTTCTTAGAATCAAACATTAACTACTATTTTTTTAGGTCAAGACCATCGACCACTAACTTCTACAAGGATCTCTTGTCAACCACATCCTAATGTGTTGAGAGAATAGTATTGGTACCACTTTTTGACCTCCTTCACTCTAATTATGAAATTTTAGCTTCACTATTTTCTTTTGCTTTAATTTTAAAGATCCCTACTACCCTTAATGGAATGAACAATCTAAAGTTATAAGTTGCAAACATACAAAAGGATCATGAGTTCCTCTCACCAAGTAACATCTTCAAAATTAAATTGTTAACATCATGCACTTTTGTGATGCCTTATTTAAAATTATTATCTAGTAAGAGAAGTACAATAAGACCCACTTCACTGACCTTATTCAATATAAACCTAATTTTTATGAATGATGGAATTCAGAAGATAAGTTATTGACTATTTGGGACAACACTATTTTCATTATTTTAATAAATTATTTTCAAGATGTTTGGTTAAATGCAGTGTGTTTTGCATTATATATCTCGTCATGGGTTAACACCCACAGTCTGCGTTTCTTTGAAGGGATATTACTCACATTGCTCTTCCTCTCCTCCATTACCCTTATTGCATTGTGCACTATCAAGAAAAGCTCTCTAACCTAAATAAAGCTCTTCTCTCCCGCTATGCTTGCATTTTCACTTGCTCTTCTTATCTCTTTGCCCTGATCAAACTTAAGGTATATTCGATCTTCAAGCTCCCCTCTATGATCCAATTGATTGTGGGTTAGTTTATGGGTTTGTGATATGATATGCATATGTGGCTTTCGGTTGTGAGATTTTCACTACGTGATTTTTGCATTTTCATATGCATAGTTTGAAGCTTTGCCGTAAAATTTTTCGTAAATTTTTCATAGATTTGGAGCTCTCTATGGATATCCATTTGCAGCTTTCTCTTATGTCTCATCTGCTTTGCATTTCTATGTATTGGTATGGATTTACTGTTATTTGTTTGTGTTGATTTGTTCTTTGAGAGAAGTTTTATTTTTTGTGATTGGTGTTGTTAGTTTTTGGAGGATGGTGTTCTCAATTAGGAGTGTGGAAGAGTGAAATAATATTGTTTTATGGATTTAGTGTTCTTCGTTGTTTTTTTTTTGGAGAATTTATGCTTAATTTTTTGTTCACTTCAAAAATCACTCACCACCCTCTCAAAAGCATAGTACAACTCTATGTTATTTATATTGTTGTGGTGCATTGGTGTTAAGTTGTAGTGGCATTGTGATGATGCAATTTTGGGCCAGCATAATTGTTGTTGTATTCGCATAGAGCATTGCATTTCAAAACATCATGTTATGGTGCTTTTGTTGTGTG